CGTCTGCGTCGGCAGTGGTCTGTCAGTCACGAAGAGCATGGCACCGAATAGGCCTTGCAGTCGTCACGGCGGTGACCTGACACGGGGCCAAGGTATATCACCCGTGATCGCCGGTCGGTCGGCAAAATAGCGTGGCCGTGTCTGCATTCAGCTGATGGTGGCTTCATTCGTCGGTCTGTCACAGCGCTGTCCGCGTCTCGCCGAGCCTAAACGTCGGCCGAGTGCGGCCGGATCAGCCTTCTACCCTGCGACTTGGATAAAGCTCAGTCACGGCTCAACTGTCCAGCGCCCCACGGGTGGGCAAGGATATCGGTATTGTAACTGTGCGATGGGTATGTAATGATCGGATATGATATATATATATATATATATATATATATATATATATATATATATTAGATTATTGTATACGTAATGATAACTGGTATGTATGTTCGGTAACAGCCTCCTAGTCTGTCAATCTGTAAGACTGCTTAGCGTTTTATTATATATAACGCGTAACTATAACGCTTAGGGTTGCTTAACGTTAAGAATTTCAACGTCAGCCGTGCAGTTAGCTGTGGTGGCGTCGTTATGTCCGCCGCAGCCGATGTGCTGCTATCCTCTGGGTAGCACGCGCCGTGTTCGTCGCTATAGGCACATACATCTATGACCACCGCCTGTCCGTACAGAGTGTAGCAGTCCGGCCGTGCGTCATTAACGCGCCGTGATGGGCACCAAGCCGAGCAAATATTTGCCGCTAACAGCATACGCGTCACACACTTTTTGTGACAGGGACTCAAGCCCCGACGTTCGCGGCGCAACACTATAGCTCCGATGGGGTATCTAATTATTATTCCGGAGCGTACGCACGCTAATGAGCAAAGGAAGCGCGTCACGTGCGGCCCGGTGAGGACGAGTAATTAATTCGCCCAATCTGCTGGCAGCTGGCGGGCTTTAAGGAGAGACCACTTACTGCTTTTGCAATGACTTCAGTCGCTGGAACGATGCTAGTTACGAGGAACGAGACTGGCATTGAGTCAGGAATGGACATGGGCTGACATTGAGTCTGGCCGGACTGAACTCCTGCTCGGGCTCATGAACCTTTGGGCTCTGATTCAAGTGGGTAATTTATTTACGGGTAAAATGGACTGTGATTTGGACTCCCCAATTAGACACACAGTGTACTCGAGCCTGGACGTAGACTCAAACCACGTAAGTGGATCAGGCTTGGACAGCAAAATTCTGGGAACATGTGACCTGGACCAAAACTAGGACAAAACCCATAATGATTCTAGGGTGAACTCCAAACATACGCTGTGATAAAAATTTGGTTGTGAAATGCACGCGAGCATTGCCACATTGGATTGGGTCAGGTTTGGCTAGGTTTGGTTAGCTTGGCTAGCTCGGCTAGACATGGGCTTGACACAACGTAGGCTTGACACCGCTACGTTGTGTTAGGTTTAGAATTAATCATTTAGAATCTGCAAGACCGTCAACTCATGCAATGATGGCGATTTAAATGCTGCTTTAAGAAAGTGCCAGGAAGGGTTAAGTTGACACTAGGTTATTTTAAGTGGGATTAAGTTTCCAACTCACAAGATTACGTGCACTGACGGCCTGATATGATTATTAGCTGGACAGGTCGCATATTCATCATGCGTTCCTTGTCCCATACCACCCACACATTCAGGAGCTCACCCACACATACGTCAGAAGTTGATCCACCCGTACATCAGGAGCTGATCCACCCATACATCAGGAGCTGATCCTCCCATACGTCAGAAGCTGATCCACCCGTACATCAGGAGCTAATCCACCCCTATTTCAGGAGCTGAGCCACCCATACGTCAGAAGCTGATCCACCCATACATCAGGAGCTGATCCTCCTATACACCAGGAGCTGATCCTCCCATACGTCAAGAGCTGATCCACCCTAACCGTCAGGAGCTGATCCACCCTTATGTTAGGAGCTGATCCACCCATACATCAGGAGCTGATCATCCCATACATCAGGAGCTGATCGGCACGCACTCAAGGCGTTAGATGTGAGCCCAATCTCTGAAGACTCCAAGTAAAACTCAGACTCAGACTCGGAGCTATGTGCCGTGAACACAAATGGATTCAAACCCTGACAAACACTCAAGGTCTTGGAACTCGGGCACGTGCACTGTGTATGAGGCGGGTAGAGGACTCGGGTTCAAACTCGGGGGGAACCCGGGTGCAGGCTACGGGGAGGGGCGGGGGGGGGGGGGGGCGGAGGGCTCGGATCAGACTCGGGAGCGGGGGACTCGGATTCAAACTCGATGTACCAGGACCTAGAACCGGACTTGGACTCGGGTTTTTGGACTTGGACCCGTGCCCTCTTCTGAGAGGTCTCGAGCGTCCCTCAGCTACCATATTACACCCATTCGTTGTTCGAAGCGTTCATTTCACGACTGCATTCAAATAACGAGCCACACATCACTTTCAGTACTACATCCGTGGCAAGGCGTTTGAAAGTCAGTTACTGGCGACGAACTGGGTTGCACCCGATATGATAAATGCTAAGGCTTTAAAAATAGAAACTTCTGGGTCGCCCCGATAATAAATATCCACTACCAGTAATTGATCGTGCAACATTTATACGAATGGCGTGACCACTTGAAGTTCCGACTTGCATGCTTCACGACTTGGCTTCTTTATTAAGATGAGATTGTAACAGATCTGTTTTACATCCAGACGGCCAATAACATTGTCTCTGATGTGAACAACAGCGGCCTGGAGCTGCTGGTTTTTCGGCGTTATGAGTTCAGAGGCACAAAGGCGGAGGTATCGTCATCATAAGCACTTCAAACGTCGAGTACCATCAATGTAACCAATGTCTTCTCAACAGCCTCGTTCAACCGACATCTCCTGGCATCTTGCAGGTCGATTAATCAGCGCAAGACTTCTGAGCTCATGACGTTTTCCCACCAGGGTAAACATCGCAGAGCACGCTCTGTCCCGCACTGTTCCGCGGCGACCTGCACGGTCCGCCGCCCACAATCAGGGAACGACGTGAAACACAATGCTAGGCAGACTTGCACTCTGCGTGAGGCTCATTCCACGTCTCCCATGGCTCCATGTTTGACTCCATGTCTGCCCCATTTATGGGCGACGCTTCCCGAGCCGACCTCTCAGGAATGCAAAAGGTCAGACCGGGTGCGTGAGGATGAAGGTTGTCTACTCGGGCAAGCAGGCAGGCCCTACGCGGCCGTTCCCAGTCGGCCTACGGCAGGCCAAATGCGGGATGGGGCGGACAAAATCATTGCGTCACCTACGGGAGGTCTGCTCAGGTCAGCCAGGTCTGCTTCTGGTGAGCATTCAAAGTAAGGTCGGATGGAGCGTCCAAAGTGCGTCAAACGGTTGACTTTTGTGACTTAACCACCGACCCGATTCGCTATTTGCATGACGTTAACAGATAGGAAAAGAAGGGGGTGACCCCCTGCCGTTTCTATTGATATCATATCACTTATCTTATATTCATTTGTATGAATACTGAGTGTTTTGCAATGTTTGCAGCTCACTGATGTGTGGAGATGTTTGTGTAATAAATCATACGGACGCTTCGGACACTTCTTAGGCAAAAGATATGCGAACATGAAGCTGTTACCTCGCGAATTCAACGAAATGTTGGCTTACTATGGCTTACTATGGCTTACTGTGAAATACTGTGGCTTTGATTTCTCCCCTATGGCGTTTATCAGAGTGTTTTTTTTCCGAGGCGCACTTTGGCTTTGGGAACGGGAGTACTACATGGTCCACAGCGACACACTGGTTCAAACTTCAACCGGCGCGCTTATCGGAAACAGACCCTTGTCGCCCGCTAGGTCGGTCACAAACGTCTTTTATTCGCACTACTAGAGGTGCGCACGGCGTTGTCATAAAGACGGTGGTCGCGACTGCAGGAAAGAAGTTAGTGCTGCTGCAAAGCGTTGAGAGCGTAATTTTAACTCGAAAATTATTGAACTTGATATCCTTATGACTTGGGGGTGCTGCAGTGACACTACACGATGCTACTATAATACGTAATTGGTCCTGAGGTTTCATTAGAGTAGGCGTTTGAAATATGCCCTAGAGGTGGTGCACTCACTTTAAAATGCTTGTAAACTAGACCTTCCAGGCTTAAACTTGGATTGGACAGACCCTCCCATAACGGTTGTGTTGTATCCATACGATATGTAGTGTAACGCAGCTACGAAGCAACGTAACTTGTTTTAAATGTTCACCACGAACTCGCCCCCTGATGACCACCGTGGGCACATCCTCTGCGCCCACATCATTGGAAGGAGCTGTCTCCTCAGATGAAATAACCCGAGCGATATTGCATACTTTCCGGTATATCTTGGGCTCTCAGGTTTCACAGTTCTTTTCATGGAATGGAACTAAACAGCAGCACTTAAACAAAATCGGTGAACGAACCTTTAAACTAGACGCTAAGACATGCCATGAGACACGCACCTGAACTTTTAAATCAGGAGAACGCAAGTTGGAAGCTACTTTCCAAAGCACTATATGCGATCAATGGATGTTTGGGAAAACTTTGCAACAGCGCTACATGTTGAATATCATCAAACACCACGATCACTTAAGCAAAAAAAGGAGTAACATTTACCACGTGACCACGAATAGTTGATAACACATCATGAACACCAATAACCAGAGTACCGCTCAGTAGGTTCAACCACACGCACCAAACGCACACGCAGGCCTACCCAAGATAATGTTTTACTCACCCGTTCTACTGATCAACAAACCGAGACTAAATACGCAGGACTGGTAGAACGTCTGGCAGTGCATCAAGACATGGCCTCATTCAAGCGATCGCCAGCTAACATGATGGTGGGAGATTCGCCACTGCCCAGATGACAAAGTTCAGGGTACCCGCAAAGGGTCTGATTATAACTTCCAATGACGAATGCTGCCGACAGCACATCTCATGCAGCGACCAAAAAATAAAAACGCCAGTTTGCTGCAAGAGCGATCCCATACCTTGTATCGCGCGAAAGAAGCACTGCCCGCCCACGTCTACGGTCAATGAACCCCACGTTTTCGCTCCACAAGTCTTCCACGATGTCCAACGCCGACACGGACGACCCCACATCAGACTAATCGCCCTTCACTGACTCATAGCCCCGCGAATCACCGCGACAGACACAGCGCGCCCAGGGTGACCTCTTGACACGACACCGAGCCGCTTCAAAGAGCCGCCGCCTGGCTCGCCGGCGGGCGCCGGCAGAGGTCCAGGACGGCGGCCCGCCTGGCCGTCTGCCCCGGCGCCGCGAGCAGCTGACCCTTGATCGGGATCAGCCAGAGGTCAGGGTCACAGATGCACTAGCTGAGGGTTAGCGCGCCCAGCAACTGCTCCACGGGCAGTCGGTCGTCGTCCTCGCCGATGGCCTCCGAGTACCTGCCGCACGGACACTACCCGGGTCAGCAGGTCAGGTCAGGTCAGGTCGCCGGAATCAGCGGGCGCCGGCCCCCCGGGGCTACAGAGGACATTGACTGGAGTTTATGTCCGCTCGCCTTTACATGGGTGCTCAAATTATCACAATTTGAATGTGAATAAACGTATTCTCACTCATTTCCTTCGCACGGATTGTTGATTCCCAGGGGCTCGTGGATGCATTCACTTGTAGGAACCGCGACCCAGTACAAAATACTAGAACAATGACCCCAGGAATAGTCCGCGACGAATTATTCATGAAAAACGTCATGAAGAAAGGAACTACAGTATGCGAACTAAACAGCCCCGCGCGTAATTTTAACACCAAGACTGGTACATCGTGCGGAGAAATTCCCTCTTTGGAACATTTTCTGATGAGAACAGCGGCCTGTCACACAGCATCACAGCTCAGATCGTGTTACCCAAACTGGCACCTGAACCCCCAAAACGCTCGTATATCGCGCCGGTCATCTAATTTTCTCTAAACCGATATCACTATGAGTAGCACCGTCCAGCACTACATTTTATCTTTTCCAGAACATTCTTCGCAGCCTCATACGCCGTAATGTACTGAATCGACCCCCCCGGGCCAGTCCCCAGCTGACCTTTCCAGTCTATTGAGGCGAGCAATGGCCTCGCTGGTGCAGCTCCCACACAACGACGTCGTGATCACCAGCGAGGCTTAAGAAATAGCGTGCCACAGGTATTACACCATCAAAACTGGCGAAATAACCTTTGACAATAATTCTCGCGTGATGCCTTCTTAAAACGACCATCGCTATTCAGTCTTGCATTTCTCTCAGGAAAATTTATTGTATTTCTCAAGGCACTTTCTTAACCGCAACGAAGCATGGGTTAAAGAACACGCGAACACAGCTGTGACATCAACGTAATACACGATAAATAATGTTAAATGATCTAAATGATAACTGGTGTTCGTGGATTTTCTGCCCTAGCTAATCGTCCAAAAGGACGCTATTACCCGAGTGGCCTATATCCTGCCAACCTCTGTCATCGCGTGCCGGGGTACTTATCTGGTAAGGACACCTAAAAACCTAGACAATGCGCTTTGGCCGGTTCCAATCAATGCGTTATGGCCCTGTAACCATCTCATGGATTGTGAAACCGGAATAACTTGCAACACATGTCGCAATTTGTGGCGGGCACGTCTATTCGCCTCGCAAATAGCAGCGTTTATGTGGCTCGTCCCGGACCGCCTATTGGCAATTCCTCGCCGCAAGAGTGTACCTCAAACACAATGTCGCGCACGCCACTGTGTGGTACGCCACAAAAAGTCGACAAAAACTTTCACTGAAGCAGAATTGTTCTTTTGGTGTGGCTTGATCATGGTCCTTGTGATAAACAATGAACCTCGTAATGTTCTCGTAAACAAGTACTCTGACTCTGACGTCGCATCCACAGAATACTCGGCCCACAACTCTACAACACGGGTATTTTATGCCGTCCTCACTCCAAAGAGGAATGCCGATCCGTGAAATATCCTCAAATTAAGACTCGTGATGCTACAGCCCATCCCCAGGTCAAATATCGTAGCCACACTTCGCCGGGCCGGGCGGGATGCCACAGAGGCCTTTGGCGTGGAGTATGTTCGCCGCCATGTGGTAAAATGATGGCGTAACAGCGGCAGAAAGGTCCACGAGCGTTAACTACGCTCGTTTTCACATGACCAGTGACACAGGGAGGGAGGCGCTGAGAGCCTCCACCAATGCGAGGGCCAGCGCCAGGCGGGTCGGGCGCCACGACCAGGCCACCCCGGGCTGGACCCAGGCAGACCGGCGCGTCCGCATAAGCGCGTGAGGTGCGGTGCTACCGCGGCCCTGATACTGGAGCCGTGTCAGGAGTGACGACGGCACCGCGGGCCTAACGCTGGAGCCGTGTCAGGAGGAGTGAGGACGGGACCGTGGCCCTGATACTGGAGCCGTGTCAGGAGTACAGACGGGATCGCGGCCATGACGCTGGAGCCGTGCTAGGAGGAGTGAGGACGGGACCGCGGGCCTGACGCTGGAGCCGTGTCAGGAGGAGTGAGGACGGGACCGCGGCCCTGATACTGGAGCCGTGTCAGGAGTGAGGACGGGACCGCGGTCCTGATACTGGAGCCGTGTCCGGAGTGAGGACGGGATCGCGGCCCTGATACTGGAGTCGTGTCAGGAGTGAGGACGGCACCGCGGGTCTGACGCTGGAGCTATGCCAGCAGTGAGGACGGGAATGGCCGAGCTGCTGTGGTGCGCGCTGGTAATACTAGGAGTAATACCGGGTTAGTAGTGTCGAGGACGATCCTGCATTCCATGTCAGGAGTGAGGACGGGAATGGCCGAGCTGCTGTGGTGCGCGCTAGTGATACTAAGAATAATGCCGGGTTAGTAGTGTCCAGGACGATCTTGCGCTCCAGTTGAAACCATCAGATTATCGATCAGCCTCGAGTCCAGTCAATAGACCCAATATCAAACGAAGTGCAGCTACTGACCATGTATCCATCTACATACATCACAGGTGCAGCTACTGACATGTCTACATGCATCACAGGTACCATCAAGCACTTCCTAAAGCCGAGTCGGGATAGTTACATCACTCAGTTCTCACTTAGGTCAAGGGCAGCGAGTAACCTCCCCCAGATGACCAAAAGTTGAGCAAAAATGACACATTTCTGGCCTCCGTAGAAAAATTGTTCCACTAAGGGAAGTTTATATGGGAACAATCCTTGACGTAAAGGAAGTGATACCTATGAGTTTAGAGGATCAGGCCATCGTTTTGACTTTGGCTATTCAAGCTGTCGTTCACCCCTCTACATCCCATACCCTGCCTCAACACTCTGGATTCGGCTTTAACTAAGCCTCACGCCCTTCGGCACAGCGGAGCAAAGTCGCACGCTTCTGATAACAGCATGACACCGATAATTAACACCAGCTCAAGGTTCAAGACTTCATTACATATCCTGTGATATTGTGTGGGCTCCAGGCCCGGCGGCGGCGGCGGTTCACAGAACATCCGGTGTCCGATGTGTCCCACGCTCAACGCCAGAATGGACATCGAATAACCAGCAGACCATGCGCGGCCAGTAGCCACCACAACTTCTCAGCGATCACTTGCACAACCTAGACGCATGGCGCATCAGGGGGAGAGAGGCAGACACCACAGCTTCAGCGGCAGAGGGACAGACACCACAGCTTTCGGGGGAGAGAGACAGACGCAACAGCTTCAGCGGCAGAGAGACACCGCAGCTTCGGCGGCAGAGAAACACACCATAGCTCCAGCGGGAGAGAGACAGACACTACAGCTTCAGCGGGAGAGAGACAGACACCACAGCTTCAGCGGGAGAGAGAGAGACACCACAGCTTCAGCGGGAGAGAGACACCACAGATTCAGCGGCAGACAGACAACACACCTTCGGCGGCAGAGAGACAGACACCACAGCTTCAGCGGCAGAGAGACAGACGCCACAGCTTCCAGATCAGAGTTTTAGGGCGCGCAGATTGCTGGCGTCATTTCGTTTCCAGGCCATCGGAGTGCCCAATGGCAACATTTGCCTTTGGTCAGATGTTGTAGAAGAGCACTGATGCTGATTATCCGTCCTGACAGAAGAATACTGATACCACTTCAGCAGAATCTGCTTACAGACAACGTATCTCCAGAACTTGCAAACGGTGCAGCCCTCGCATGCCACACAAGGCAGCAAGCTGGAGGAAGCCCCCGCGTCATCTGTCGCCCAACACCACCCCAGTCACCGGCCATCACAGTTCCGCCCCCATCCGACACCTGTCTCCGTCCGAGCTGTCAGCGTCCCAACGTCAGTCGCGTCCGTCCCACCCCAGCCGCTGGCTCTGCCCCACCTGATGTCCGCTCGTCCCGCCCTCGCCTACCGCCGCGCCGCGCGGCCGCCGCCGGTCCCCGGTGGCTCTGGTAACTTATCCCGGGTTTGGCCGGCCCCATCCGACCGCAAAGTTCCCACCCCGACTCAGCGACGTCGACTAGTTTGGCGAGTCCTATCGGGGGATAAGAGCGGCGTGATTCCTTTGAGATGGGCGGCCGCCGTCCGGCTCGCCGCGGGGGCAGAGGCTGCCGCCGCTCGCCCCGCCCCGCTGCTGGCAGAGGGAGAGGGGGCGGACGCACGGCGCCCCTCCCACCAGACGAGCGCGGTTGAGCAGCCATCGCACGCGCGGAGAATAGGGAGGGAGGGGTGTGCTGACGCTGATTAAGTCACCAGTCTGTCACAACCTGGCAGTGAGAGCTTTCAGTTATTTCTCCTAGCACTGACCATGAAGGTATTGTGACCGTCACGCCGCGGTTCCAGCCAGCCAGCCTCTGCGATGACTCCACTCCACGCGGGCAGTGAAGATGCATAGTTGATGAACTAAGTTAGAAGTAAGCCTTCTTCAGCGTCCACGCTATTCCGGCTCTGCTGTACAGCCGAAAACAGGTACAGGTTCCACCGGGCTCAAAGAAGCATGTGTTCGCGCACGCACGGTTCGACATTCATCAACGTGTTCTTGGACGAACCGGTAATGCTTGATCCAACAGCATGCCCCAGGAACCTGATTAATGTCATGACACTCAGTTTCACACGAACTCTCTCCTGCCTAGGTCATCTCCTCCTGTGCTCTCAGCAGCTTACGCTATGCCCCGCCTCGCCTGGCCACCGTGGTCACGTGACCTTGACTCGGCACAAACAGCAGCGCATATGTCTTCCAAGGCAGGTTCCACCAGGCAGTTTTACCAGTTATTGTCCACACTGGGCTGTTTGTTTTTGGACTCAAAAGCTCATGTTAGTATGCATGGGCTCTGCATGGTTCCATTCTGTATTCAGCAAATACGATTGCTGACCGGCAAGCCGGTGGTAAACGGGCTTCAAGATATCCTGAATAGCGGGTCGACGGACCACTGCACCGGGCCGGCCGCAGCCATCGCCCAATGCGTTGCTTTAACCACTGTTTGGCGTAGAGGCAGGCGCCTGTGATACAATGCCCATCATTCGCCGCAGCAATACAGAACATACACATCAAAAGGGCAATCATTCGCGGCTCAAGAAAGGGACCATTCATGCTACGTTGCTCTTGATGGCAATTCGGTTCATGGGTTGCTAGGCATGTTGGGTTGCCGTGCGCATGGTCGACTGCAGAGCACGGCTAAAAAGAGGTCTGAGATTGAGAAAAAATGATGCGCTGCATCCTTCAGCACATATCTCAAACACGCCGTCAGGAGGTGAGAACCCTCACGGCATGTGCCGTTACATATTCATCCACAGGACTGCCCACCAGGGCCCACCGGCGTCCCGTGCCCACCAGGGCCCGCCGGCGTCCCGTGCCCACCAAGGCCCACCGGCGTCCCGTGCCCACCAGGGCCCACCGGCGCCCCGTGCCCATCAGGGCCCACCGGCGTCCCGTGCCCATCAGGGCCCACCGGCGCCCCGTGCCCATCAGGGCCCACCGGCGTCCCGTGCCCATCAGGGCCCGCCGGCGTCCCGTGCCCACCAGGGCCCACCGGCGTCCCGTGCCGTGCCCACGAGGGCCCACCGGCGCCCCGTGCCCACCAGGGCCCGCAAGCGTCCCGTGCCGTGCCCACCAGGGCCCGCCGACTTCCCGTGCCGTGCCGTGCCGGGCTCGGGCCCGCCGACGCCCCGCTGTCCCCTGCGGCCACCGTCGCCAGCCAACGATCAGGCTGGCTCTCTCTCTCGCCTGGGCGGGGGTCACGTGGCCGTACGCGCCGCAGGGCGCCGGGCGGCACCCGAGCCGGTGGTCGGCGGCGACCAGCGCGGCGGGCCGAGACGACCTCCCCCCCCCCCCCCCGCCCGGTCTTCCACCGGCGACCACCGGGCGTCCTCTCCCGTCACACCTCCTCTCCGTCTGAGCCCGGCCCGACTGCGCTGTGCCTCTTCGCTCATCGGCGCGATTCGTTACAGCTAAATCTGGCGCACGCAGCGGGGCCGGCGACGCGTCACATTAATGCACCACATTGGACGGGTGATTGTGTCCCAAAGGCTGCAAAGGACAACAGTGCAGGTGAGAACAAAGGGCAAAATTATGTTTGATCTGATAAGACAAGTGATAAGACTTTGGGGCATTTGATGTGTAGTACTTCAGGATACACGGTTAACTTCAAAAATAGTTATGGTTATGCAGTAAACTTGGCTGCCGCCTGAGATAACATGAGCCCTCATAATTCAACATAACTTCATGACTGAAAAACTTATGAGCACCATGCCGTCGCCTTATGTCACATGAATGTCTTACGCATTCCAACCATTTACACGACAAAGGCGACAGTGGCGTAACCAAGGGGGAAGCTTTTGGGGCCATGCTTCTCCACCCCCATCCCATCCCCGCCCCCGGAGACGGCGAGGGACGCGGCACGTTTTACTAGTTAAAACGCCCGTAGCACTTCTTGAATATATAAAAAAACGGTCCCTCGAGGCAACAGGATGGGATCCGGACCCTAAAAAAGTCTCTGAATAAAAAGCAGGACCCCTTTAGCAGCGAAGTGGGCCCGCCTGGCTACGCCACTCTAAGGTGGCGTCAGTAGCCTGCACACTGCTCCGTTTGGCGCACCCCTCGGCGAAGTCCTGGCTACGCCACTGAAAGGCCGCTTCACTAGGCTGAACCCTGCTCCGCGGCAGGAATGGTATCGAGCCAGCCGATTCTTCATGTCACCGAATTAAATAAGATGGATTTGCCGTTCCGTTCCTCGAGCAGCGAGCCGGTCGTCTAACTCTGGTGGCTTCGCCCGCGCTCGAAGCGGGCACTACGTCATGTGTCACGCCTTGGAAGACACATGTCGTCATCTGTGCCGCATCACTCTCGCTAAAACCACTTCACTCCAATGCAAGGGGCAGCGCCTCAAGCTGAGGCCATATATGCACGTATGGATGCATGTGGGTATGAACGTACGCACGCATGTATGTATGTATGCATGCATGTATGTATGTATGTATGTATGTATGTATGTATGTATGTATGCATGTATGTCTGTGCGTGCGTGCGTGCGTGCGTGCGTGCGTGCGTGCGTGCGTGCGTGCGTGCGTGCGTGCGTGCGTGCGTGCGTGCGTGCGTGCGTGCGTGCGTGCGTGCGTGCGTGCGTGCGTGCGTGCGTGTGTGTGTGTGTGTGTGTGTGTGTGGTGTGTGTGTGTGTGTGTGTGTGTGTGTGTGTGTGTGTGTGTGTGTGTGTGTGTGTGTGTGTGTGTGTGTGTGTGTGTGTGTGTGTGTTGTGTGTGTGTGTGTGTGTGTGTGTGTGTGTGTGTGTGTGTGTATTGAAGCAAATTCATATATTCACGCATACTGGCTTGTCTATAAATGGCTCTGTAAATGAGACATACCAACACGAGGCCGGCACTACCACTGCCAAGCATATGATGGGTCCGCTTATAGAGAGCATATATATTTAGCATATATAAGTGATACACATATATATATATATATATATATATATATATATATATATATATAAGCATAGAAGTATTTCGGGTCAGGAATGTACATTTCCTGACACGAAGCTTACAGCAATTGGAGATATTTCTTATCTGGTGTTGCACACTTAAGACACCACACGAAAGGCAGGCAATAATAGGCCCGTTTTCCACCAACAAGAGTCTGAAAGGCCCTGGTCTTGTCCTTGAAGACGAATGACTTGAACGAAGCCCACATACGGAGCGTCATCCCAGCGCCTCGTCCGCCTCCCGCAGCGAGCGGAGCAGGCATCCACCCCTCCCGACAGACCGCATAATGTCAGCCCGCCCGCCCACGCAGCGCCGACAAAACGGCGCCGCAAGCGTCAACTATTGATACCCAATCGTATCCGAAGACATTGCGGCGGGCGCGGTCCGCACAGCCGAGGCCGACTGTCAATTTTTGATGGCTCTGTCAGCGGGGCCGCTTGCGGCCGCCGCGAAAGGTGCGTCGCCGGTATATCAAAAACAAATTTGCGAGACGGAACGCAGCCGAGCCTGGTCTGGACGGAGGGGGAGGACGGCCGGGAGGGAGTGGCGCGGCGGCCCAAGCGATAGCCCGCTCCGGCCGTGCCTGACATGACAAGGAGATGGTAGGCATCCGACCGAAACGAACACGGAACGGATTGGACGTAGATGCGAGGGGTAGCCATCGGTGGGTGGCGGTGAAGGACTACCACTATCAGGTTTGTTATAAACACGTAGATCGTCACCTACGGCTCATGTCTTTTTTGACGTGAGGTCAGAAATACGCGGCCAGGTCCAATTTCACCTCGCTTCAAAAGCATGAAGACTGTGATGTGCGGTATCCCAGTGCTGAGTGGGTGGTCCAGGCTCACGGGGAATTCCGAAGACAGGGACAAACGATCTTTCGCAGCCTGTACATCAATGCGCAGCGGTTTCTGCGCGCCTGCCGACACTGGCCGCCATCACAAATGACGTCGATAGCGTGCAAGGTAACCAGGAGCGATCACCGCGCACCACGCTGTGGGACAGGCACGGTCTGCGTGTCGTCGGTCAGGAGCTGATCGCACCACGCTGTGGGACAGGCATGGTCTGCGCGTCGTCGGTCGGGAGCTGATCGCACCGCGCTGTGGGACAGGCACGGTCTGCGTGTCGTCGGTCAGGAGCTGATCATACCGCGCTGTGGGACAGGCGAGGTCTGCGTATTGTCGGTCGGGAGCTGATCGCACCGCGCTGTGGGACAGGCACGGTCTGCGTGTCGTCGGTCAGGAGCTGATCGCACCGCGCTGTGGGACAGGCGAGGTCTGCGTGTTGTCGGTCGGGAGCTGATCGCACCGCGCTGTGGGACAGGCACGGTCTGCGTGTCGTCGGTCAGGAGCTGATCGCACCACGCTGTGGGACAGGCATGGTCTGCGCGTCGTCGGTCGGGAGCTGATCGCACCGCGCTGTGGGACAGGCATGGTCTGCGTGTCGTCCGTCGGGGGCTGTTTGCACCGCGCTGTGGGACAGGCATGGTCTGCGTGTCGTCGGTCAGAAGCTGATCGTACCGCACTGAACTGAGCGGAGCTCCCCAACCGCCAGCATTCAGCTATTCCGTGACCAAAGAGCAGGTCATTTACTTCAGACGCCATTTACGGACTCGTTGTATGGCTACAGCCAGTGGTTATTGGATTTACCATTACGAGCATAATTTGTCATATGGCAGCATACATCCAGTAGATATTCGGTCATCATGGTGCGCTAACATGCCAGATCCGGTCAATAAAAGTGCGCCACACAATGCCCGTACATGACACCGGTTATCTGGCAGTTATCCACGGCTGAGTGAGCTCGCTACCAATTTAATAGCGTTTCGCAGCAGGCCTAATGGGAAAATCAATAACTCGATGCAGCAAAACCGATCCAATTCGTTTTAGAGAGGCGCAGCAGGGCGAGCCGGGCCGCGACCGCGGCCTGCCGTGTCCGGCGCCAGTTGGTTAGGCTACTGACCCTGAGGAGCGGGGGTCACGCGCGCCTTCGGACCAATCACACCGTGCGACGGCCCGCTGGCTGTTGCCGTTCGCCGAGCAGTGCAAACAGCCGCTGTATGCGGCGGCTGGCCGGCCGGGCCGCGTGCTGGTGTCATGTGGCACCGGCACCGCACCTACCGGCTGGCTCTGCGTGCGCGTCAGGCCGGCACAAACAATGGGGGGCCATTGCCTTCGTCACGCCCTCGCTCTACACGGTACTTAAGAGCAATGACTCGCAAAAATGGTGTGACGAAATAAAGCGACTAGCTTTCTTTCCCTCCTTTTGTGTTCACGTTGCCATAATTTTGGTTCCCATCACACCGTTCGCAGCAGCGGCCCGGGTACCATGCAGACGTCACCACAAATTTCCAGGCGGATTTAACCAACTTGCGTTCTTTACATGATTTACTATAGCTATAATTTACATTTCATCGGGTGGTCAGCCAGAACGGCATGCTTCCATGCGTCTGCCGAGGGCCTAATCTGTAATGTGTCGCCTTACTTTTCCGATATACACTGTGCCGCCCACTGGCCGATCCTGGTGTTCTCCTTCTTCTTCTGGGCGCTGGCCTTGGGCGAGTTGGCGATGAGCGAGCAGCACTGGAACAGCGGACGACCATGTTATCTATCGCGGCCACCCACACACGGGAAGGGCGCGGCGTCACATAGCTGGCGATACAGTACGGTCAATGACGCCCGATAACATAGTTCACCAGGCAGGCACACAGCTTTCCAGCGGATCCGAGAAACTCAGCAAGCGAAGTGCCGCAATTCAAGCTTATATTTACATGTCAACCTTGTCATATGTCGACCCAAATGTACCTCGTTTCATAATGCAAAGGAAGCTCTAAAATATCACGCACCGTCAGAACTTGGGCGACATACGATACAACATTTAATGAGTTTATACGGGAGCATGTCATAGACACCCGCCACTCCCGGTCCATCCGCACGTCCCACAAGCAGCCTGCGCTGGAGCGGCCAGGGCTCGGGGCCCAGCGGGACGTCGGGCCGCCGGCGGCGCCGCTGAATGGCGACGGCCGGCCCCGCCCGTGACGACCGCCCACAATGCCCACCCGTCCGGCCTGGCACACTCGGTCGACAGACCGATCCCGCCCCCCCCCCTCCCCCCCCGTCTCCTCCACCCCACCCCGCCGTCACCCATTGTCGGCAGTGCCGTCCCAATGAGGGCAGCCCCGACATAAACGACGCCGGCCCGCAGGAGCTCGTGCGGTTGTAACCGCCGGCTTGCCGCCGCGGCGGATAACCGCTGCGGCGGAACGGGCGGCGCCCTTCGATCAAACACCGGGCGATGTCCGCTTTAGGTCGGCCACCCAACGCACCACTTAGCTGTCCTAAACGCCCGATGATGGAGGAGCGGCACGCAACGCACCATTTTGGGCTTGTCCGGGCAACCGGTCTAGCCCGCCGACCAGTTCCGGACATCCGGCCGCCTGCCAACAGTCCCCACACCGGTCAGCCACCGCCTTCAACAGTCCAGAGCAACCGGTCAGCCGCCGGCCCCCAACAATACGAGACATCGGCCAGCCGCCAACAGTCCAGACACCAGTCAGCCCGGCGCCGTCAACAGTCCGACACGCGGCCAGCCGGTCGACACGTCCAGACACCGGTCAGTCAACAGTCCAGACACTGGCCAGCCGTCAACAGTCCGGACACCGGCCAGCCGCCAGCAGTCCGGACACCGGCCGGCCGCCAACAGTCCGGACACCGGTTAGCCGGCGCCGTCAGCAGTCCAGACACCGGCCAGCCGTCAACAGTCCGGACACCGGCCAGCCGTCGACAGTCCAGACACCGGTCAGTCAACAGTCCAGACACTGGCCAGCCGTCAACAGTCCGGACACCGGCCGGCCGCCAACAGTCCGGGCACCAATCAGCCGCCAACAGTCCGGACACTGGTCAGTCGTTGACAGTCCCGCCACCGTGCAGCGGTGTCAGCCAACATAGCGTCAGAAGTCAAGGCTGTCAGGAGGCCGGGTCTCCCCAGCGTGCCACTGACCAGCATCAGGCCGTACAGAGCCCGCAGGCGGGTCACTCCAGCGTACCACTGACCAGCATCAGGCCATACAGAGCCCACAGGCGGGTCACTCCAGCGTACCACTGACCAGCATCAGGCCATACAGAGCCCGCAGGCAGGTCACCCCAGCGTGCCACTGACCAGCATCAGGCCGTACAGAGCCCGCAGGCGGGTCACCCCAGCGTGCCACTGACCAGCATCAGGCCGTACAGAGCCCGCAGGTTGGCCGCCCCAGCGTGCCACTGACCAGCATCAGGCCACAGAGCCCACGGGGGCGGGTCACCCCGCGTG